GCGGACATGCAAAATAGAGCAATTTACTAGTGAACACTCTCGTTGTTGTCAAATTTGTTTCTAGACACCGCGGCCAATAAAAAATTAATTTCTTGCTCCGAGGAGAGAGAACAATGGTAAAATGTCATTTTTGCCCTTAGCATTTTCTTTTTTCTCCCTCCCTTCGCTGGCTGCCCGGGCTCCCCCGCTGAAAGGTCCTTGTTGGTTTTGGTAATTGAGTGACAATCTAGGTGGACTAATTGTGTTTATGTGAGATACACAGGTGATTAGTCCACAGGTACATGTGTATGAGCAACATATGCCATGGAGGTGAAAATGGCTTGGAGATGTTGCAAAGCTCACACATGTGATGATGAAGGAGCTTATTGCACATGAGACATGACATTGAGTCATGTGATCAAGGTGGAGAAGATCAAGACAAGACTTGGCTTGATGGACCGGTTGCAAGCGTGAAGGGCAAGTCGAAAGCTTTGGAGTGATAGACCACGTGACAGTGAAGCTTGAACAAGACTTGGCGCCGATGGACGATGGCAACGGTGAAGAGCAAGTAGAGTCAAGATCGATGAACCAATATGATCATATGATGATATGAAGTGGATCATATCATTGTTGATCGTGTTGGTGCATGTGTTGCATCGACATTGAAGGAGATGGAATGGAATGCGCAAGGCAAAGGTATAACCTAGGGCATTTCATTTCACCGGTCATAGGTGTGTAGAGAAGTTTATGACCGGATTTAGGATAAATGGCCGTACTATCAAGAGGGGCAAACTTGTTTGCATATCGGTCATCTAGTGCCACTCGAGTGATCTAACTTTGCATTGTCGCTAGGATCGAGTGGCGTGGCAAGTTGAGTGGCTAACATCCTTTGGGAAATGATTGTGAAAATGCTAACACACATACACATGGTGGTGTACACTTGGTGGTGTTGGCACATTTACAAAGGAGGTGGTGTTTGCAGGGGTGAGATGGGTTTGGGTCCCTCTCTCCCTCCTGCCGAGCAAGCTCGGCGGGATTCGGCGCTTTTGGGAAAATAGAATGCCTATTTTCTATTGCGCCGGATGTAAGTTCTTGTGGTTAGCACATTGGAGCAAGGGTGATGAAGTTTGAAGTGAAAACGAGTTAGTCGCGAAGATGCTGGCGTCGGTCAACTGACCGGACGCTGGATCTGAATGCACCGGACGCTGGCAGGCTGCGTCCGGTCAGGCTGACGTACGATGACGCAGAAGCTGGAGTGTGACCGGACGCTGGCTGCGTCCGATCAAGTGTGACCGGACGCGTCCGGTCGAGGTCGGTACCTTACTAGAAACGACCGGACGCTGGGGGTTCAGCGTCCGGTCAGTTGAAAGCTGCTGCGTCCGGTCAAGTCAAGTGACCGTTAGAACCGGGACACGTGGCCGTCTGCGGGCGACCGGACGCTGAGGTCCAGCGTCCGGTCAACACGACCGGAGCGTCCGGTCGGCCCGACCGTTGCCCAGTGAAGGGGTAACGGCTAGTTTAGCCCTTGGGGCTATAAATAGAAGTGGCCCTCGGCCATGGCTGGTGCGGAGCACCTCAAGGGACTTAGTGTCCATGCTTGTGAGTGCTTGGGAGCCCTCCATCACACACATACTTGATAGTGATCATTCGATTGTGTGAGTGAGCGATTCTAGTGCGATTGCATCGTGAGGTTGCATCGAGTGGCACTAGGTGATCGAGTTGCGAGCCGGTGGTGCTTGTTACTCTTGGAGGTTGCCACCTCCTAGACGGCTTGGTGGTGGTCTCCGTCGAAGCGCGCAAGAAGCTTGTGTGGCACTCCGGAGAAGTGCTTGTGAGGGGTACTTGTGCTCGCCCCGCGGGAGTCGCGAAGAGCAACTTTAGTAAAGCGTGTCATTGAGCTACCCTCACTCAAAGGGTAGGTTCTTGTGGCGCCCGACGTGCGGGCTTAGCGGGTGATGCTAATTAGCCGCCGAACCACCAAGTGAGCGGTCGACACAACGGGGACTAGCGTGTTGACAAACACGTGAACCTCGGGAGAAAAATCATCGTGTCAACCTTGTTCTCCCCGTTGGTTTGCATCCCCATTACACAAGCTTGCAATTACTTTTATACATATTAAGCTTGTGTAGTTGCTCTTGTAATTAGATAGCTTGTGTAGCTTGCTAATTATCTTTTTGCTTGTGTAGCATAGAAGTAGCTCCCTTGCGTGGCTAATTTGGTTTTAGTAACCTTGTTAGTCACATTGCTTAGTTTGTGTAGCTAAGTATTTGCGCTCTCTAATTAGGCATTGGTTGCCTTGTTATTGAGCTTTGCTAGTGAGCTTAGTTGGCTTTGTGCTTTTGCTTACTAGCATGTGTAGGAGTTTCCTTGTTGCTTAAAGTACTAGTGGCATAGGTTTGTGTGACCTTGCTCCTAGAATTGTTTAGGAGAGCTCTAGCTAGCCCAGCACCTTAGTTGCATAATTAGTATCTTTGCAAGGTGCTAGTGAGCATATATAGAGGGGTGTAGTCTTGGCTAGACCGATTGTTTTAATTCCGCATTTATATCGGTTAGCCGACGCGATTAATTTTAGAAAAGACTATTCACCCCCCTCTAGTCCGCCATCTCAACCCTTTCACCCGCGCCGCCCTCAAGTGCACCCCCTGCGTTGAGGATGCTGGATCTGCCGCCTGGGTTGCCCGTGCCGCCATGCAGCACCTCATGGAGGGCAGACCCGCCATGGAGAACGAGGCCACCGTCGCCTACAAGACCATGGGTTAGGGGCGCGCCACAACGGTTGTCGGGTGGGGAAGAGCCTCCGCGACCGCCATTGGGAGGGGAAGAGCCTTCGTGGCCATCGTCAGGAGGGGAAGGTCCGCCGGAGCAGAAGTCGGGATGGAGGAAGGTCCACTGAAGCAGACGTCAGGATGGGAGAAGGGTCATTGTAGCCATCGTCGGAAGGAGGAAGAGCGGCCGCCATATGGGAAGGAGAGGGCGCCACCACCAGTGCAGCCGTGCACGCGGATCGGGTGAGGTCACGGCGCCACCAGGGGTCATTGTGTGCATGGGGCGAGTCGCGTCCCCGCCGGACACAGGTCCCCCTGCCGCCGCCATCACCGGACGGATGTAAGGGGAAGGGCGCAAACGCCAAGATCTGCCAGCCCCTGCTCCCGATCATCCGACTAGCTGGTTGTGCCGTGATCGCCAAGGGATGGCGCCGCCACAACCAGTGGAGTGGGGAGGGAAGGGGAGTCATGGCCCAAGCTGAAGGAGAGAGCTCGACTATGACGGCCCGGGCAGATGGGGACCAGCGAAGGGAGGGAGGAAGAAAAAAGAGCCAAGGGCAAAAGGATATTTCACCACCATTCTCTCTCCTCAGGAGCAAGAAATTAATATTTTATTGGCCACGGTGTACAGGAGCAAATTTGACAACAACGAGAGTATTTACCAGTAAACTACTCAATTTTATATGTCCGCTAGCAAAGAGGGGTCACTTTTCATTGTCCTATAGCAAATTTTGCCTAAATACTAATACTATTGACTATAAAATTAATCAAATTTAAGCTAGATTGATCGACATGGATATCATAGTTGCAATCTTTTGTGGACGGAGGGAGTATATACATGGCGAATGAAGACTTTAAGTTTTTGGCAGCCATGCCCCGGTGACCCGCACGCTCTTCCCCACCGCCAGTTGGAGGTAAATGCGACATCTACGCATATGGGGTCTGTGGGTGTGGGTTGGAGCCAGATGAAGCTATTGTTTAGGGCCTGTTTGGATCTTCTGATCAAAACTCTTACCTCTAAACTTTAGAGCTAAAGTCTTCAAACAAATGGTTTAAAGTTAGACCTAAACTTTAGCCCACCTCACGTTAGAGCTTTAGACATTAAAAACGAGCTAAAGTTCTTTAAAGTTTTTAGAGCTCTAAACTTTAGAGAAGGGGATCCAGGGTCTTACTTTCATCCTACACCAATCCTCTGTGAGAGTTTCAGGAGCTGATGGTGGAGGTCTGCCAAATAGGTATAGGTCCTAAGTTTAGTTACTAGGCTAAATACGACAGGTCCACGTCAACGCTAAACCGCTAAGTCAAAATGCCACGTTGTCTTATACGGAGTGGAGAGTGAGAGACCATACCTCTCTTTCGGTTTGATTTATCGTCCATTTTAACTCCCATGCGCTGCTCTAAAATCTGTTGCTTCTCTTTTGTGACCATGGCTTCATTAGCGTTTATTTTCATCAAAAAAATAGTTATTCCACCATGCCTGTGCCAGCGTTACATCTTTTTTTCTCCGTCATGCTCAGCACAATGCCCCCTGCTGCTAGTGTTGAGGCCCCCTTAGAACACATGAATGATCAAATAAAGGAATAGGAAAAACATAGGATTTTTGTACGAATTCATTTGCAAAACAGAGGATTGGGGATACATAGGAATGCATGTGCAAAATCATTTGGATAGAGAAAAGGAAAGGAATTGAGAAGATAGATAAATCAGTACGGATTAACTAGTCATACAGTATTGGTCTTCTCAAATGTTCCACGTGTAGGCTGCTAGGAGCTTTGCATCAGCAGCACCAAGGCACATTTACCTCGATCCCACGCACAGGACAGAAAACAAGAAGATAGTGGTGAACTGGTGAGTGGTGATAACTCTTCCTTCAATTCGAACTTGCACTAGTGCTGAGAAGATGGAAAGTTCACCTTATGCTCTGTTTGACTGATTTGTTGTTATAGAAAAATATTATTCCAAAACAGATTTGTACGGATTAAATACTGCTGGCCGGCTGGCTGCCTGCCACATTGTTTCCCCACACATCGTCTTGATTTCTCCACCGTCAGAAGCCAAGGAGACTCCTGCAACTCGATTTCGATCCCAGCAGCTCAAACGATTCATCTTCATCAGTTCCCGCGGCTATAAAACCAAACAAACGCGCGCACTCGACCGCCACCACCGTCTCGTTCTCCTCGCCGGTCGCCACGACATCAACACCATACCCCGATTCATTCCCTCCCGAGACCGACCAATCGGTCGACCCATCCATCCATGGCCTCCTCCAAGATCTCTCTCAAGCTCCTGATCGACAACAAGGCGAAGAAGGTGCTGTTCGCGGAGGCGGGCAAGGAGTTCGTGGACTTCGTGTTCAGCCTGCTCACCCTCCCCATCGGCGCCGTCGCCAAGCTCGTCTCCGCGGGCACCATGCACGGCAGCGTGGGCCGGCTGTACGAGAGCGTGGACCGGATGGGAGCGTCGTACCTGCAGCCCGGGACGGACCGCTCCGACCTGCTGCAGCCCAAGGTGCTGCACCCGGACGCCCGCGAGCTGCTCCTGCTGAGCGGTAGCCGCGGCGGCGACGGCGACGGCGAGTCCCCGCTCGGCAGGTTCCGCCTCTACACCTGCGCCGGGTACTGCGCCACCGCCGCCGCCGAGGCCAACGCCACGTGCCCGCAGTGCAAGCTGCCTATGGCCACCGAGGTCGCCTTCGTCCTGCCGTACGCCGCTGCTGCTTCCTCATCGGCGGCGGGCGGCGACGAGGGGGGAAGAGGAGGGTACGTCAAGGGGGTTGTGACGTACATGGTCACCGACGGGCTTGAGGTCACGCCCATGTCGGCGATATCTAGTATCACGCTTATCAACAAGTTCACCGCCGGCAAGGACGTCGAGCTCGCTGAGAAGTTCGTCACCGTCGGCACCGACGAGGTTCGTTCTTGGACTGGATTGGCGCCTGTGTCTGTCAATTGTAATTAACGCGCGTTTTTTTTTTTTTTTTGAATTGGCCGTCAGGGGCTGGCTCTTCTCAAGGCCGTGCTGCGTTCGGACACGGTGCTCTCGGATGTCTTCCTGACGAGGAAGAAGTGATCGATCGATGCTCAGCTGCCGATGCTTGTCGTCTTGCCAGGAGACGAACGAAGCTTTATTAGTGCTGCTGCTTCAGTTTCCGGAAATGCCATGTCTGCTTGTTATCGTTTTATCGCTGTATCGTGTTTCAGTTTCAGTCCTGGCTGCGTCTGTCAGTTTCAGATTTGTCATGCTCATGCTCGTATGCACTATGAATCTAAAAAGTGCTCGTATGCACTTAGCTTGGTGATTTAAGTACTACTGCCTTCCAGTTTGATATGTTATTGGGTGCATCTTTAAGCTCTAATCTTTGCTTTGGCTTGATTTTTGCCCGCGAAAAATATTCAGTATGCATTACAATCGTTACTTCAATCAAAGAAAAAGATCAGTAACGCTTTCTGTTGAATGAAATCTCCAATGTTCAATGTACTTTACGATGTACTGTGGACATTCTATGGTGTCCATTACGCCTGTACTTCGAGATCAGTAACGCCTGCTCTGAATTGCTCTGCTAAATAAATAAAAAACTTGCTCGCAGGAGTCTATAAAATCACATTGCCTATAAAAAACACTCCCCAAACTTCTCTTTTGAAAGAAACCTTTCCAATGCAATGCAAATAACAGATCATATGCAAAATCACAGCAATATACAGGTTCTTATAGAAGCCATTGCAGATCTTTACTAAGGAATCATGTTAATTTGTACCAGCAGAATATACATAGGAAAAAAATGTACTGAGTTTACTGAAAAACACTACAATAAAGCACTTTATCCAAAGTACTGAAAAACACCAGTTACTGTTTCACATTTTTCACTAAGATGTCTGTTAGAACTTAAAATTATACTTTTACAGATCACTCGATGTAGGTCAACATATCAGCAGCAGAAGAATCACTTTGCGAGGAGGAAGGTTTACTTTCAGTCTTTCAAGCCAACATTCTCTGTCAAAAACATGTACTGCCTGTTCAATGAATATGTTCTGTGACTAGTTTCAGTAAGATGTGCAGATCGTTGTCAAAACCATAGCAAAACTAACCATCCTGGTTTTTGGACAAAATAGGCTCCCATGGGCCATGAGTAGAACTGAGGTCAGAACATATATTGGAAATTATGTGAGAGAACTGAGCTACTCTTCTGCTCTTATTCAAGCGCTCCAAAAGAACTGAAAAAGAGTCCCCGGGATGTAACCTCTGTAAGATGTGTTCAGATTGGCTGTTCATTTGTCAGAGACCTTGCTGCTATCTAAAACTCTTGGAGCATGCAAATCTGGGTACCGCAAATCATTGCCCGCTGAAATCATTGGGGAACAGTGAATAGTAACATCAGCATTTGGTACCGCTTCTGAATGACTGAAACATTTGCACAATCTGTATCAAGTGCTTAAAAGGACAACGACAGATTCAGATTATGAATCATTTGCATTACCTCTGTTAACTAACCCAACTTAACAGAAAGCATTTGGCAATGAAACATGGAGCTTAAGAAATACTGTTTGCACAAAAATGTAGGACTACAACTACAACTTAGCGCGACCTTTAATTTTGTCATGTAATTGGCAGAAAGCACCGGGATGGGAAGAACTTTCATTGTCATGTAATTGCCTGATCTGATCTGAGAATTGTGAGCTGAAAGTGAACCTCACCCACCTGGTGTGCCGTGGTTGAGGATGACGATGTCGATACGGTCGTTGCCGATGGGCAGGTCGACGAGCAGGGGGCTGAAGTGTGCGTAGCGGCCGTCGCGGACGCAGAGGGTGGTGCGGGTGACGTCCCTGCTGGCGCCGAGGCGGCACGCCAGCGTGAGCCGCAGCTGCATCAGGTTGTGGGTGTTGAGCTGCATCGACCTCCACGCTCCCTCGCTCACGCTCCCGTCCGTCTCGCCGCGCACGTACCGGATCTGCCGCGCCACCTCGCTCTCCGTCAGCGGCCGCCGCCGCGCATGCGTCAGCTGTTCATCGCATCGCATTGCACACACGATAATCTTCCGATTGAGAAGGACAGGAAGCGATCCGTACGTACGTAACTGGTAGGTGGGATCAAGAATGCAGGGGCGGGTCATCCGGATGGGCACGTTCTCGATGTCCCACTGCATCATGGTGCTGCCATTGTCGCCGGCGGAGGTGACCGCCCTGCGCCACCGGAGGTACCGGCCGTTGGCGCGGAGGTACCTTCCCGTGCCGCTGCGGATGACGAAGGTGGTCCGCCGCGGGATGGCCTGCCACAGCATCCCGGGCGGCGGAGGGGCGCCGCCGAGCCCGTCCTGCGCTGTGACCACGCCGTGGGAGGGCCCCGTGCCGGCCTGCACGCTGGTGGCCAGCAGGTACCGGCCGTAGGCGCCGCGGAGGAACACGCAGGGCCCGCCGTCGGGCCCCGCCGCGTGGTTCACCGCCCACACGGCGTTGTGCACGCCGCGCTGCCCCGTCAGGCACACGCTCGACCCGTCGGCGTCGGCCGCCAGGTACTTGCCGCGCCGCGCGCAGCACCGCAGCCGCACGAACCGCACCCCATTGAACACGTCCATGGATGGTCGATCGCGTCGCGCCGCGCTCCGATCGGGAGGGCGACCGACCGGCCGCCTCTTCCCTTCCTTCCTTCTTCCTCCCGGCGACGGCGATCGAGCCAGGGGTGGCGAGAATTCCTCGGGCTCGTGTCGTGGGTTCCTGTTCCTCGCCGCGCGGAGCAGGGGAGGGCGAGTTCGTCAGGGCCCACCGGCCCGGCTCCTGGGGGCCCACATGTCTGTTACTAAGTCACCGTTACGCCACGTCAGAGACAGGGGTCCTCTGGCAGTTGGTCCGCACCGGGAAGGCGCGAGTATTTGAAGGCCGAGAAGTCTCAGGCCCTCCCGCATAGCTGACAAGGAGGGCCCACATCCTGACAGCGGCGGGGCGGAAACCGCCTTCCCCTCCGACGCTGGCCGCCTGGTTTGTTCGCGTTAACCCTACCTACGTACCCTACGGCGGCCGGGCGGCGAACTCACCGCCGCGCTGGAGAGATCGAGGAGCGGGCGGGCTGGACGCGCGCCCTGACGACGGCGAGGACGAGGCGAGCGCGCGGCTGGCTGTGGGCCTGTGGCCCGGAGCAGAGCAGAGGAGCTAGGCGCGGTGAGGTGAGGTGATGCGAATCCATCTCCATTCCGTTCTTGCTTGCATGTTCAACTGAACGACTCCTTGTGCCTCGCAGTGTGAGATTGTCAGCATTCGTCACATGTTGGTACATGCCACCTGCAGAGTTTAAGATCAGTTATAATGCTAGAAACACTGAAACCCGAAATTCTGCAGCTATGCATCAACAAAGCCGAACCTGCAGTTCCTGATCTCTCCAGTACTTTTGAATCCTTTTACATTCAGCATACATGATTGCAAAAACAAAATCCTCTGAGAGGCTCTTCCATATGCAGATGAGCTAGTGTTCTGTGCCTTGTCGAAACAACATGTGTGCAGATTGGAAATGCTTCTGCTGATTCAGACAGATCAGCGACGTGTTGAGGTATATGGAGATGAATGTCCTTGATGAAGTTTAGAGATTTACTTACAATAGAATTTACTTGTTCACAATCTTCGCATACATTCCCTCATTCTGCATCAGTGGGTTCACTGTTATACACACACACACACACACACACACACACACAATTTCATCAGTATCATCATATCTGACCATAGTTGAAACATGATCTGTTAGGCTTGTACTGCTGCATCATTTACCACAAAGGAGGCGGCAAGCCATGCTTATTAAAAAAAACGTTCCTTAAAGACAACCATCATATTAGGATTTTAGGATGCTGAATTACAGATACTGATGTTCACTTCTGCTCTAGTTGTCCTGTTACCACCATTGCTGCCACAAGCGTCTTTGGTTGGTTCAAGCATCAGCAGAGAAAAGGTGTGTAGTGTGTCCATTGAGAACTGATTAGGAAGGAATCACATTGCCTCGTATCATATGGGCCAACTCTTCAACATTTTCTACCTGCCCTCCAACATTACCAACACTGCGATCAGATATGCATCTTCTACGGAATGCAGCCAGCATTTCTACTTAGGATGCACGATTTATCCTGTGAAATCAGTTAGCAGTGGTTTATCAGAGTGTTTTATATACTTACATTGGTGTAAATATACACTGGCACTTGTTAATGCTTCGGGCATGACGAGAACATACAATCATCCCTCTCATTCTTTTGACAAATAACACTCTGTTTATTATTCAGACAAACAAACGAGTGACCGGTGGCCTGGAAAGGTGAAAACCAACCTCTTCTGAGATGATTTTGATCAAAGCTCTATTGTTTGGTGGCTAATTATGTCAAAACTCACAAAGCTTGGCTGGTTAGCCGTTTGCAAACTCCACGGAATAGATAGGATTAGTCATATTCAGGGAGTCCTGCAGCTTCACTAGTCTAGCTGTACAGTATTTGCTTCTTGCCTACATGGCCTCCTCAAGCACTACCAACAAATATGCTATATTGTTTGCATCCCTCATGCAAATGGCACTGGAGTGATGAAAACCATGTAATCAATACAAGCAAAGCCTTATTTGCACTCCACTCATCAGCCCGTACTAGCAGGAGCAGCATGCTCTTCCTGATGTTGCCTTGGCATGATTGTTCTTCAGTTGCTGCAGGTGCAGGCATGCAGATGATTACTTTGGAGACTCCGTAAAGGTTAATGCAGAAAGCATCATTTAGTGGCGACATGATAACTTGTAAGTAGATTCCTTTATGTTCATACAGCTTTTTTTATGATACAAAGCTTATGGTCTATGTGCTCAACAAAAAGAGTTAAGTTTGGCTCTGTAATGAAATGGAAGGTGCTTATTTGTTTCAGGAAGAAGAAAATTGCTGTGTAACTACAGGTACCTTGTGAATTGAACTACCGTATCTCCATTCCTTCCTCGTAGTATTTGTATAGTCGTATGTGCTCTGTCTGAGGTTACCAGTATTCTGTTCCACAACATGCTGTCAGTTTTAGCTTGGAAATCTGAAAACGTACTTGCTGAAGTTTTGTTTACTAGCATTTGGATTT